GCAATCGTTGTATATTGCATGTTGACATACGATTTAAAATAGATATATTTTGTTTAATTTTTCCCTTTAAAACAAATTTTTTTTAGAAAATTGCTCCTGTGAGTTATATTATATATAGGGGAGAGGTGGCCACAGTGAGACACTGAGGGCGGGTCGCATAAACGTTCATTAGCCATTTACAGAGCCGAACGCACTAACGATCCGTTAAAAAAAATTGGGTGTTGCTTGAACGCTCATTAGCGTTAACGGGCCTGTATTTTATCGGGTAATGGACCTGTAAACTACAGGTCCGATTTTGGTTCGTTAACTTTTACAGATCCGTTAATATGGTGATAAGAATATAATTTCTTATCAGACACACCTTTTATTATTAAAAATATAAATAAATTAATAATAAAAATATAAAATATACATTTAAACTCAAAGAATACGTTTTTTTCATAATATGTCTTCATCTGATTCTGATTCAACGAGTGATGATGATTTTATCATTGAGGTGCTTCAGGTGTTACCGAGACCACGTTCTTTTCGTGATAGATCCAATCCGTTTACAGAATATGATGATATAGATTTTAAACATCGATTCAGGTACTTAAATATAATACTAAAATATTTGATTTAACTATATTTTCACATATTATGAATAGTAATGCATTTAAACCGGATCTTTGGCCGAAGAATGCAGTCTCTAAAATCTAAAGAAAACTTGTATTTTGTGTTCAGAATGAAAGAGATTTAAAGTATTCAAATAGTTTTATTCAATTACCTTACAAGTCTAAAAAAATGGTTTAACACAAATAATCTTCTCTATTTTCATGAACTTCATACCTGAATTAATGTGTAATGATTAATATTTGCATATCAGGTTGTCTAAAACAATGTTAATTGAATTACTGGACATGGTTCAAAATACACTTCACAATATGTCATTGTCACCAATATTACAGCTTCTCATTGCACTTARATATTATGCAACTGGTGCTTTTCAGGTGAATATTTTAGATTGTTATGCATGCCAACTGAAGCATTTTAAACTCTTATATATATAATATGCATGTATGTATGTATGTCAAATTTTAGGCAGTCTTAGGAGACCATATACGAATCCATAAATCAACAGTGTGTYGTATCGTAAAAAAGTGTCAACATGTATAGCATCACTTAAACCAAATTACATTCAAATGCCAAAAACAGAAGCTGACAGAAAATTAGTGTATGAAGATTTCTATAAAATGTGTCAATTTCCCAAAGTCATTGGAGCAATAGTTTGTACACACATCAGAATCCATTAAAAATATTGGAGAAAGATTCCGCAACAGAAAAGGCTATTTTTCAATTAATGTT